TCGCTTTTTAGTAAGCATTATGAATCATAAAGCTTGTTTAATATTTTTTTAATAGCAAAAAGCAACTGCACTCACCTTGAGAGCGCGTAGATGAGGGGAAAAAAGAGTGATACATTTGGCAACTTGTTTTTAAATTAAACTAAGCATTGTGCGCGTCACATATAGAAATGCTAAAAAATTTTGAAGTAACTGTAAAGCATAGAAATCTATAATTTCTTCGCGCGCAAGTTATAATTCTTGTTTTCTATAATATTTCACCATAAAATACACGTGCCATCGTTATAATGTTTAATTAACTTTAATAACCTTTCGCATGGTTAAGATTTCTGTATTTTTTAATATAGCTGATACTGGTTTGTGGTCTAAAATTTTTTTTTTAATCTCTAAAGAAAATCAATGAACACATAATCTCTTTTAACGTAGGCGACATAATTTTTTGTAGATTTTATTGCAATAAACATCAACTGCACCAAATTGTTTGCACACTAGCGAGAAATTAAATTTATAGCCATTATTAATTGCAATTTGGTAAAATTATAGAAATTTAAAAATAAAAACAAATTTATAGGAATTTTTAATTGCATAATGGGTTATATATTTAAATGAGCCATACATTTAAAATTTCGCTATTTAAGCTGCTCAAGCAACTAAACTAGAATAATTACAAAAATTAAATTGTTTAACGAGCTTTTTTTTAATGTATGTGATTTTAGCGATTTTTGCAGTTTTTTTTTTCTAATTATACTTATATGGTATATTCGAAGAAATTTTTTTCAAATAAAAGCTATATATCTTTAATTCAGAAACTTAGAAGCAATACTGGCTTTTGTGAGCTAGAAAAAGGTTTCGCGAGTGCATAACAATATAGGTATAATTATAGATAGCCAACACTGAGAGAGTAGCGAAACGAAAAATTAACTGGTATAAAACTAGAATCATTAAATTGTCACTTTACTGAGTTAGCCACTAACACTTTAGTTTCAAAATCAATTGGATACATTTGATGTGCTTTCACATGTAAATTATCTTACAAGAATAAGAACAAATTTAAATATAGTGAGCAGAAAAAGGGCGAATGGGGCTTTCTGGCTTACACAAGCTATTTGGTCTATTTGGATGTTACTAAAAAGAAGAGTTGAAAAGAAACTAAAACCAAGAACTTTTTAGGTTAATCTCGTTTACTACTGCCATGTGAAAATACTGCATACACTCGTGTTCAAAACCATTTTCTTAGAGCACTAATCTTAATTTGAATACTGTCAAAGTTACATCCAAACGTTTTCAAGTTATAGGTTTCAAAATGACGTCACCTCTGTAATTTCGGTTCACAATGGAAAGAAGTAAATTTTGTGTTTTGATAAAATATATTTTTCTGATGGCTAAAAACAGCATTGAAGAAGAATAATACAGAATAATTACGAACTGTAATTACGACTTTCAAAAAAAGGGGCTGCATGAAACAGGAAGTCTAAAAAAAATTTTGAGAGACAATCAGCACTCTCCATAGATGCAGCGATCAAAAAGTAAACGAGTTCACTGTCTACAATTAAAAAGTACTAAGAATTATATAAAGCAAAGTTATATGAAAGTAAAAACGTTAACTTCGGTTACACCGATGCTATGGCACACTTCACAGGTACATTTTTTAAAGCAAATATATGCATGTATAAATCTGAAAACGTAATCGGCTAACAGTTTATATACAACGCTAAATGTTCTGCTAGTTCTTTCTAGCCACGTTGATAAATTATTTCCGTTACTTGATACCGAAAAAATATCTGTTATGAAGGAAGATCTTTATTTTAAATGGCGTAGCTATATGCTATAGTGGTCCGGTAACGGCGGTTCCGACATATGAGCAGCTTCTTGTAGAGATATGATACAAGCGGACGGACCGACATGGGCATCACTAAATCGACTCAGCTCGTCATGCTGATCATTTATATAAATGCTTTATAGAGATTCCGATGTTTTCTTCAGCGTGTTACAAATGTCATGGCGAACTTAATATACCCTCGTCTTCATAACTGTAATGCAGTCAGGCTTATATGTATTTTTCCAAAGTGTTTAAGCGATTATTAATATTGTAATAACAGAAATAACTTCTTTTTTTTTACGTTGTCCGGCGCTTGTCGCATAATAAAAATTCCGCAAATTACAGAAATTATCTCACTACGCATACAAATAGTAATATGGGATCAAGTTTCAGTTAAATGGAAAAATTTCTTACTGGAAAATGACGGAAATCGCAAATAAATCATTTAGCAGCTGCAATTTAATGACCTCCCGAAAGACTTTGCTAAACCGAAACTATAAACAATGCTATTGAGAAGCTGAAAATTGCGCTGCAGTAGATCCTTGCACGTCAGTTAGCGGTTGAGTGCAATTCCTTGTCGACCTTGAGAATATTGAACGACACCTCAGCATTCCAAGTAACTCGAGATAAATTGAATTTTCACACATACTCAACCAAACATACCTATATATTGGCAGATGAACAAAGCCTGTTCTTTATTGAAGCAAACAACACGATCGAAACATTTAAATATTTTAAATAAAAACCTGATTTTAAGTGTATGTACGAGTATAATAAATTAAGTGTAAGCGATTATGCGCCGGAACGAACTACGATTCGCCTAAAAGCCCTGGGCGCACCGCCAATCACAAAGGCCATTGGCCAAACGGCGACGCGTGTACTCTCTGACAGCTATATGAACTTTTGCACGCATGCAGTCATCAGGCAAATATAGTTGTTGTTGTTGTTGTCATTTTTGTTTTTTGACACTGCAGAAAACACTGAATGACAGCGCGTGTAAGAAGAATGCGATAAAAGACACGGCATCTGTAAGTTACCATATACATACAATATAAGAACCTTAATCGCTGCCTTACGAAATCTTCCACCTTGGATTTTTGCGTCTCTTTATTGTTTGTGGTTGAAACAAAGAATTTATGGAAAGTCTGCTTATTTATCGGATAATGGTAGCTTTTCATCTGAAATATTCAAGGGTATTTTTAGTCATTAGCTGCAAATTATGAAATCAAGTGAATTAACCGAGTTCCCGATAAGAATTCGTAAGTATTCCAAATAAGAATATTTAATTGGTCCATAATTCAGAGCTTTTTATACCCTGCACAGGGTATATTCAGTTTGCGCATCGGAGACCCTATAAAATATATATCTAAATGATCAGCGTGGCAAGCGGAGTCAATTTAGCCATTTCCGTCCGTCCGTCTGTCCGTCTGTATATACGCGAACTTGTCCTTAAGTTTTTAAGATACCGATCTGAAAGTTTGCAGACGTTCTTTTCTCTCCAAGAAACTGCTCATTTGTCGCAATGGCCGATATCGCATCACTATAGCATATAGCTGCCATGCAAACTTAACGATCGGAATCAAGTGCTTGCATAGAAAACTCTTTCATTTGACGAGATATCCTTACGAAATTTGGCAAATGTTAGTGCCTAAGGCAATCATATAATCTCAGAAGAAATTGTTCAGATCAGCATTTAACTGTCATACGAACTGAACAAAGAATTTTTTGTATTTGCGAGAGGTATTATTGCTTCGGTGATATGGAAGTTAACGTTTTTTTCTTGTTTGAAGCTAATTTCATAACAACACATGCAAGAGCTCTCTATATGGTCAGCTGGCAACAATAAAAATACATATGTATACATATAAGTACTCGCTAAGAAGAGCAGTTATACCTCGTAAATTTATAAAAAATTATAATATCACACCCATGTCCAAACCTAATCTACTTTGATGAATTAAAATAATCCATTAGTCTTTGCATCCATGTACACATAAAAGTCAGTTTCGAACTTAACGAGCATGCCTTATGTTTCAGGCAAAGAGCGTTATTTAGAACATATTTCGGTTCTCAAAACATTGACAGTACAGGCCATACTTCTAAAAGCTGTATAAGCCAGATAATTTGTTACAAGCTATATTTGATTTGCCAAATCTTTAAGGGTGCTGAATCAAACTAAAAACTGGTATAAAAACTTAGACTAGCATAATCAAATTCAGAACGATTTGCAAGGAGTAGCACAGCTTTAATGAGATATCCTTTTACTCTCTTGTATTGAATTCAAATTGATAACATTATTGCATTCACTTGTACATTTTTTAGAAAGAAAACAGAGTATATGTACCATATATATATCGAAGAGAGAAGTGGTAAATCGAAGACGGTCAAAGTCTAGTAAAACCATTTCGTTGATAAACCATTTTAATTACATTATCTGCTGCATGTTAAGATGGATTTTAGAACCAAAATCGCGAAATTACGAAAATCTTCCACTCTCAGCCAAGAGCCTCATCAACCTGCCTCTTAAAGGCCATCAACCATCAAATCATTATGCAAAAATAACAAAGGTTCTAATCGATAATACACCCATATTAATATTGAGAAAGGTAAGCAGAGTTAAATTGATCCCACAAAATTTTATTAATTTTTGAGTTATCGAACTGATTTGTAAAGCGTTATTATTTAAATATTATATTAATAATATTTCGGATCTGACCAACCATACAACCGGCTATCCAAGTATTTTCAACTTTGATCTTGAGAATCAGGATATATTTGGTCAATCTTTTTTTTATAAAATTGTGTTGGTTACATTCTTAGACCTTGTCTGTAGATATAACAAGTTTGCTAACATAAGTTGCCATTCAAAAATAAACCTAACCAATAAAGTAAATTGTCCTCCAAATCAAGATATCAGAGTCAGCTAAGCGCTTGAGCGTGAGATTGCAAGCGCGTTATGATCTTTATCATACCATCAATTCTTTCAACGCGATTAGGTTAGCAAAGCATCAGCTACTCGATCAATGTCATGCAGAGTGCACTGGACTGAAATTTAAGAGCAACAGGTTGCATATTGCATACATATCTATATATGTATATAATGTAAATATGCATAGGTAAATTTCAATTTCAATTTAAAAGCCTCGTATATTTAAGCTACCTAAACCTATCAAACATCACTTACCGCTGTCAATTTCATTTTCGCTGGGATCACGATTAAACACATCGCTGTAGTAGTGATCGTGTTGCTCGGACTCGACACTTTGCAGTGACTCTTGACCATCATCGGTCACTTCATCGGCTTCGGCATTGATATCCGTATAATACTCGGTACTCTTTTGTACCGTTGGTTCTGCGTCTTGTTCTTCCTCCTCTTCAGGTTCAACAACTAATTGCTGGCGATGTGCCCCACCACTGTTACTGCCGCCTCTTTGTCGTTGTCTTTGCTTTTGATTAGCGTTGCCATGTCTTTTACGACCGCTCGTTTTCTGAGTGTCAACACCACGTCGAAAATTGTGAAAATCTCTCGCGGAGGAGAAGCCGCGCGGTCGTGGCCGTGGCGTCGTAGAGGAGGATGGTTTGGGTAGTATTTCCGAAATCGTCGGTATGCGTTCGTTTGTGCTGCGATTGGGGAAAAGCCGTCGCTCTAAATATTTGGCGAATATTTGTTGTGTTATTTGATTTTGCCGTGCGATTTCCGCTTCGTCCAACTGAAAGTCGGCAGTTGCTGGAAGAAAGAAAAATTAAAAATTTCTTTAGTTTTATAAAATACTACTTTGTCGGACGCAAATCATCTATTATCAATGTGATATTTTTATAAATGGACTTGTGGCACCTAGAGACTTCTCTGCAAAAGACTTTGTAAGAGCCCTATAAAGAGTGAAGTGACGTAGTTTTATCTTCAAAATAATCGTATGTAATAAAATTTGAAATGATCTCAAAAACATAGAGTGTGTAATAATGACAGCACGAAAAATTATTGGTCCCGACTTTTCTGAACGTGCAAAAAGACAAACACAGTGAATACAGCGGAGTTTTTACGATCAACCGTTATAGGATTTCAAATGGCTTTTCAATGAATGGAATAATTTTAACCACCTACGACATATTCGACGCATTTAGTGAAAGTTGGTGTTAATAAAACTCTGCACTCAGTTTGAAAATCGCACCAACGGAATTACGCCTAATGTTCTTTGAAACACGATGCTTGAGTTAGGTCATTTTGGGTCTATAAATATATTCGTGCGGTTTGCAAAGAGATGGCCTGATTTGATTATGATCCCATTGTTCCAATATTTCGAAAATGCGTCGGGAAGCTACTGCACTTGTGCGTATTTTTCAGTATAGTTATTCATTTGAAGCGTAAACTACAATCTTTTTTTCCCCTCAAATATGTAAAACTGTAACCAGTCAAAGTGTTTTTGCGGGGAGTTCTTCTTTATTACTTTAAGGTGAGGAAAACCTCAGCCAAAAGTCATCTTATTTTGGTGGAAGTTTATGGTGAACATACTCTAGCTGAGCGAACGTGTCAAAAGTGGCTTGCATGAGTTAAAAGTGCTGATTTTGGCTTCGAAGACGAAAAACCTCCTGTATGGCCAAAAATTATGAAAATGCTGAACTGGAAGCATTACTCGATGAAGATTGATGCCAAACACAAGAAGAGGTCGCACTACAAAAAGAAATTATTTTTGCATCGGATTGTGGTTGGTGATGAAAAATTCATATATGTACTATAATAAGACTAAATGCAAAAATTATACGTGAAACTTAAAGCCGAATTTTCATGACACTAAGCTAATGATCTATATTTGGTGGGAACGGAAGGGCGTGCTATATTATAAGCATTTAAAACCGGGTGAAACCATTAATGGGGAACGCTATCGACAACAACTCATCAAATCGAGGCGAGCTGTTGCCGAAAAACGCCCGGAGATATGAGGTAGCAATTTTTGATCATGATGGCGCAGTTCTTTTGGGATGGAATCCACAAATTGGCAGAAAGATATGTTATAGCTTCAGATGGACAATACTTTGAGTAATACTATTTTACCATACATGTACGAATATAGTTACAGACCCAATATCAAAAAATTAACTGAATTTATGTCGTGCATTTTATTCTCTTGGGCGAGTGTTATTTTGTCACTCGAATAGACAACCAATTGCTTTGGTCGAACTTAAATTTGAGATAACTGACATTCGCACCAAAAAACAAAAATAAGCGAGGTTTACGTAGACGTTGAACATTTAGAAATCATTATAGTGACACATGTGACCCATTTTGCAATGAATTTATAAATTGATTTCTGCAAAGCTAATCGAAAAAGTGTCAAGGTCAAAAGGTGATGGTAATTTGCAATTAATTACCTTACATACGTAAGTACATCTGTAAGTCCACACAAGCGACCCACTTAACTGACATATTTGATTCATGCCGCAAAAAGCATCTGCTTGCTCATCGCCCACATTTAATTTCAACATAAAAATACATACACCCATATGTAAAGTATGTGTGTAACATAACTGATAAGTATAATATTTTGCACATCGCAGATGTGGAAGAAAACAACACTGACAAGTAATCATAAATCATGCGGTAAGCGCTTCAAAACCGTTTTAGCATATGTAAACGGGAATATACATACGAGTATTATACTCGTACAGACATACAAACGTATATCGGTATATTACTGGCACAAATGTATTGTACGTACAGCTTTGTTGTTATTAATTTGTAATTAGATATTTAATTACAAAATAAATGGATAAATCAAGCAGTGCCAGGGCAATTATACAAATTTACATATAGTATATACAATAAGTATGTATGAATGTATATAAAATATTGTGATTTTACATATGTAAGAATTTGTGTAATATTATATTTTTTGCATTTACAATGGCATTGCATTTATGATGGCATATGGCGCAACTTTTTCATTACCACTTCACTTGGCTTTACATATTTATCCCCTGAGTTACAACAACATCGATCTTAATAAGTTAAAGTCATAAAAAGGTCCTTAATTTTATTACGACTATCACTCAATCGTTAATTTTAATGAGCAACACAGCGTATTTTGCTTTAGTAACACCTTAACAGTCCTGTCTTCTGTGCGTGAGTTTTGTCGTTGCTCATGTTTTACGTATATACTCGTATGTAGTAGACTTTCTATCCTTGACATACTTTTGAACACACTCAGCTTACATGCAGAGATTCAACAGCGCCTTAAGTACAAGTAATAATAGCAACGGTAAATACCGAGACTACACAAATATTTGCACACCGTACAAGTGTATAAGACGACTCAAATCAAACGTGAATAACAAATATTTCGCCATACAAGTATATGTACATACATATGTATATTTCTTTATGTGCGTATGTCAATAATCAAATTATAAAACAATCAAAATTTCTTCAAGCACTAAGATGCCCAAATAATGCGCCACAAACAAAAAAGGCCATGTATTGAAATTTCGGTAGTTTGGTTGAAAAAAGTAGAAAAGCTCCGGGCAGCAAACATCGTCACGCATGCGCAAATGACATCAGTCAAGTGGCATTGAGAAGCGTTAAATTATTTATTTGAAGTATGGTTTGATAAGGTGCAAACATTTCTGCTACGCATCAAATATTGCGTTGATGGCTGAATGAAGCGGAAAGCAAATTTTTGAAACTTGTGCAAAAAAAAATAAAAAAATTGTTAGTAATTTTGTTTTTAATTGCGCTACGCAAACTTTTCATCAGTAAGCAGCTTATATATCTTAAAAAGGTAAATCAATAAACTGCTAATAATAATAATTAATATAAATGCTTGTAAAAACTAGTCTAAAGCAAAATGTCTTCCAAAGAAATTTCTGCAGCTCAGCTCATAGGTTTGATAAAACATTGTTCTAAAAGCTTCCATAGCTGTCAAGTAAATTAGATAATTTTTAAAAACTTAATCCAATATGCGTATTTTCTTCTTAATTCTCTTAACATGGTGACAGTTATTTAATTTATAAACTTTTATAAAGCAACTGATCAAGCAACAATCAGATTAATGCCGATATGCAATGATCAGTTTTTATTCACTATTTGTGATTTTTTTAAACATAATCTTAATTTTATACCAGTTAGTATTCACAAAACTACTTTCAGTTTCTAAGTATTCCGATAAAAATTCGTTTTCTCTTGTATGGTAATTGTCTTGTTTACACCCTTTTATTTCATTTATTCTTTGACTTCTCAAATCGAAAAATTTTCCTCACTTTTATTATTTTAGCCTACTTCAAAACATTAATTAAGAACGCAAAACTTTGATGGCCGATATTAAACAGCTGTTATTTTGTACGAAAATGAATACTGAAATTTCATCACAACAGCCTGTCAAAAAGTAACAGCATAGCGATGGTTTTTGTGAAATCACAATGCATATTTTGTGAAAGTTTTGAACTATTTACCAGAAAAATAAGTGACCACAGTTTTTTGGAAAAAAATCAAAGTCATTTCAACATTTCAAGCAATTATATGGTTTTGTGCCATTGATTAAAAATGTAATAATTGAAAGACATTGAGTTTCGTTTTCGTAGAAGGTTAACAATTATGTAAGATTCCAAATATAAAAGATATTGGCAACTTACATGATTATAATGTAATTGTGTTGTAATTTAATTCGTATGCAACCAAAAAGAATTCTAATTTATTAAAAAGAGAAGAAGAAATCACAATAAATATTTCATTCTTCTTCCTCCTCAGTTGGGAATCTTCACTCAATATATAGCCGACCTATAAACATACATATGTATGTCTAACTGAAGAGGTAAACATTGCGTTTGTTTATGAAACTCGATTTTAGTTGTCTCGGATAGTGCTACAAGAGCAGATTCATTTGTATTCACCTTATATCCTGAAACGTTAATGCGTCAAACATCATTCATGAAACCCCTCTGAATAGGGAGAAAATGGTTGCCAGCAAATTCGTTAGCAACATCACTAGACATTTTAAGTTTGTCGTCAATGAGCTTTGCTCATTTTTACAAAAAGCGAAAATTTTGAGAATATTTATTTACCGCACTATGGATCACTTTTCTCAAACGTTTACTGTTGATGACAGAAAGAGTAATAGTATGGTAAGTCAATTCAGTCACAAAAACTGTTCACGAACGCATTCGCTGAAATCCTCTTAGAAAACAGAAAATTATGTCAAGGAAAATGGATATATCGATCAGATCAATGTCAAGTTATATTCGAGATTATATCGACATGAAAGCTTATCGTCGGTCAACTGACCATCTTCTGACAACGCGCTTGAAGCGAATTAGGTTTAACAGATCCAAACGGCTTCTTCAGTGGCATGCAGTCACCGACCATAATCCAAAGGAGATAGACAGATGAAAAAGGACATAATAAGATGCTATTATTTCAAGGGTTCAAAGTAGTCACCATCCAGTCTCCTGTTAAGGCGTTACATCTCTTCACAATGGTCACAAGTGTGACCATTTCAAGCGTCATGACTACAACATTTTAATATACGAGTAGTTTAGTAATAAGTAATATCAGTCAAGTACTCATACACTGACTTTGAATTGCCTAAGTACATAGATACTTTCAAAATTATTTTATAATTTTGCTGACTAATGAGAAATGAGTGTAAACACTACATAATTAACATATTTCCGTCAATTTTCTAAAGTGCATACTCAAGAGGTGTTATACACAGCCGAAATATTAATTTTTAAGCACAT